ATGTAAATGTTATGGAGCTAATTCGAGTGATTTGGAGCTTTGAAGTCTGAGTAAAGGCCCAAGGGAATAAGTCGGGATCATGTTCGGGGGTTGAGAACCACGTCGGGATGTCTAAAAAGCAAGAAAAATCTGTACTCAGAGAAAGTCCCACAGCCGCGGCGCGTGGCGTGCCGTGGCTGCCCAATTTTCCTGAAGCCTATCAGAACAAACTCTCTAAACTTTCCCACAACCGCCCCGTGTGGCGCGTCGCCCCATGTGGCCCGCCTGTGCAATTTTTACAGAGTTATTATCCAAGTTCACACAGGAAAAGGTGTTTTTGTTTGGGCCCGACCCTACTTAGTATAAATACATGTAAAAACGTTATTTTAAGGACTTTTGACACATCTAAGACCTATGGAGGCTAGAGAGAAGGTGGAGAAGCGAAAGCACAAGGGATTCATCATTCAATCCTCACTCAAGACAAGAGTTTGGATCGTTTTATGTTTTTCTTTATATTTGTGATGAATTACTCCATATCAATGGAGTAGTTCTCTTTAGGGATTGATGGATTTGATGTCTTGATACTTGTTTGTGGATAATTAACTCTAGTTTTTATGCATTGATTCGTTTTGGATGTTTTAACTGTTTCATATATATTCACTTGTTCGTGTAATCGAGAGAGGCATAACTTGTGATATTATTGCATTATATTTTGTTGGTTGAAGTCATTAATTCTTCTTAGTAATCGGAAGAGGCTAGTTGAATTGTTGATTAAACTTATTTAGGAGGATAATCGAGAGAGGTTCTCCTAAAGACCAATCCTCCACGAATTCTTGCATAACTTCACCGATCTTAAATTGATTCATATTGTGAGTTTGGGACTTAATCGAGAGAGGACTTTCTACTAATCGATTGAACTAATAACCAAGTGAATTCGAGAGACTCACTTGAATATTAGAAATGAATTATCTAGAGTTAAATCCCAACATTTATCTTGCACCTATCCAATCAATCCCTATTTTATCTCATTGATATCTTCTTTGCTTACTTTTGTTTCGATTGTCATTCATCAATTAGCTCTAGATTCTTAGTTAATTTTAGTTTTTAATCACATAATTCTCAATTGTTGATCATCTTGGATAGAAACCAAGCTATAAACTACGAAAATATTGTTTAACTCCAATCCATGTGAATACGATATTATATTATACTATATTCGACTAGCGAGCATATTTAAGTGTGTGTTTTGCGCTCATCACTAAGGCGATTTTGGAGAGGCTTTTCGAGGGGATTCTTGAGGTAAGTCCCTTGTGCTCGTTTATGATCAACAATCTTGTTTTCCCATTGATCTTTTCCCCTAGTTGGCGTGTATTTAAGGTGTAAATTGGGGGTTTGGGGCTAGGGATTTGGAGGGTTTGATTTGGGGGACGATTTAGTGTCGGATTTTGATAAATTTGGTATGGATAGACTCGTGATTGAGTGGGCTTTTAGGTTTTGTGACTTTCATCGAATTTTTCGACGTGGGCCTGGGGCTGACTTTTGAGCCAATTTTTGATTTTGATTAATAATTTAGAATTTTCTTAAGGAATTAATTTCTTTAGCCCGTATTGATTATATCGCATTGTTTATGGATAGATTCGAGGCTTTCATAGGCCGTTTCGCGAGGCAAGGGTATATTGGAGTAGAGATTTGCACGGATTGAGGTAAGTAACAGTTCTAAATTTGGTTCTGAGTGTACGAAACCCCATATTACGTGTCATGTATTTGGTTTTAAGGTGACACATGTGCTAGGTGACGGGCGTGCACCGTAGGAATTGCGACTTGGTCAATTTTTGTAGAACCGTGTAGTTGTATAATCTGTTGTTATCTGTACATTCTCCATGTATTAGAGAAACTGAACCACAAATCATGCTTAGACTACATGTTGGAATTGTAGGGACCCACAGAGATTATATACATGTTGAATTATCTGCTAAATTGTTGTTTGTACTCAGTCACAGTTTATTTGTATATTACATCTCAGTCTCTATTGTTCATTTTTGATGCATCATATCATTGTTGTCTCGGCTGCTTATTACGATTTCTGAGTGCCCGAGAGACTGGAGAGGTTGATGACTAAGTGAGGCCGAGGGCCTGATTGTGAGGTATTATACTATAGCACATGAGTTATCCGTGCGGATCTAGATATTATATTATAGCATGTGAGTTGTCCGTGCAGCACGTGAGTTGTCCATGCAGCACGTGAGTTGTCCATGCAGCTTATAGCGCTTGGGCTGAAGGAGCCCCTCCGGAGTCTGCACACACCTCCAGTGAGCGCAAGTACCTACTGAGTGCGAGTGCCAAGTGCTGAGTGAATGGGAGGGCTGAGTGACTGTGGACCTAAGAGGATGCATTTGATTTTATATTTGTTGCACTTAGCTTCCATGTATCACTGTCTTTATAATTTCTTAAAGGTATCGCACTCTGTTTCAGTTGAACTTGACATGAAATTACTATTTTGACCTTAATTGTTGAACATGAAAGCATGTCTACCTTCTATGTTAAAATCACTGTAATTGAGCTATAACTATAAAGCTCGTCACTACCTTCAGTTGCTTATTTAGTATTGTTGCTTTCTGAGTTGGTTGTACTCATACTACACCCTACACTTCGTGTGCAAATCCAGGTATTTCCGGACACAGTGGGTGTTGATTTTCGCGCACAATTGATCTTTTGGAGTTTCTGATGTAGCTGCCGGTGTTTTGTAGACCTTGTTTCTCCTTACCTATCTTTCAACTTATTGTATTTGATTTCAGATTTTATAGAGTGTATCAATTAAACGGTTATCTCTAATTGTATTATTTTTCTTAATATTTTTAATTCCGGAAATAAATCTAAACCATCAATATCGAATTAATTATTATTCTTTAAGGAACATTCAAGATTAAGGCAATATTTTTTTTTAATTTCCATCATCTAGTCATCTTAGTTTTTACCGCTAAACAGAAAATCAAAAATATTTTCATATGCTTCGAATTGTTCAAATCTATTTTGAAGTGAAAAAAATAGCCTTGTCTATTATGTATAAAGTAATCACCTCCAAAGGACTCTTCGAAAGATCTTGAGATTTTATTATCAACATTCTCATCAAATTGTTACTTTCTATATATCATACGTTTCTTACGAAATTGGGGTTCGATATTCATTTCAAGTGCAATTTTCGTGACAGAAATTATAGCAGTTGCAAATCCTTCTTCTCTATATTTGTTAAAGAAAGAAATCAAACTTGTTCTATGGCTAGATAAGAGGATACAGACAAATCAATATATCATGCAAGATAAACATAGTAAACCCAATATAGTGAATTCAACCTCGCAGTTATGACATTGTAATCCTTGAGAAATATTAAGATAGAAGTTGGGGTAGTAACAATACCGTATGAGGGTTACGGAGATAAAAGAGAGTGCGACTGGGAAGACAATCAAAATATCATCTCAGAAGCAACCCTACGATTAGACCTTTCGATACATAGAAACCATAGGCCAGAAAATATTCCACTGACGATGTCGTTATCATTCCTGGATACTGAGTCTCAGTACTTCTGGCCTTCTATCTGAAGTGTGGACTATTCACAACCTTCTGCATTTGAGTATCTTGTATGTTGTTCACCTTTACCTTACTTACATTAAAATCTCTCCTTGCATCTTTTATTTCTTTTATGATCTCCTTTCCACATAGTATAATTCACATCCATGACTTGAAGCTCTATTATAATACTTGCACCTCTGGTGCATACACAATCCGGTGGGAGCTTCATACTTACTTCTTATGAGGCTGGTACTCTTCTAACTGGCTTTCTCGTAGAGCCGTTATGGAATACGGTTGTTGTACTATCTCTCTTGTACCCTTGATATTAAGGGTGATTCTGTAATATTTTCAATCACGATTTCTATATTTTTTTGGGTCCAATAATGAGACTCCTGATTTACTTGGTTGATGTAACTCTTTAGTTTCCTCTTCCTTCTGATCAACCTTTATATAGGCTTAATCTATCTTCCGATTTATGGCTCCTGATATTAATTATTACTTTAGCCTTTCATGGGCGCTATGGAATATCCATGATATAATCTTCTGACAATTCAATCCTTTGTCTATGCCCTAGGCTCAATTCCTTCTTTTAACTTATACCGGAGTCTTCTACGGCTGTATGAATGTCAACATATATGCTGCATGGATATCACTCTGAAGTCTTAAGTGCATAATCTCTTTTGTTCCTTTTGAGCTTCCTTTAAACGTAAACTGTTACTTTTTATGGTCTTTCTGCCCCTTTGTTGCGTGTATACTTAGCTTATATTAGTTCTCACACATGCCGGAATTTTTGTGCAACTTACATGGTCTCAAATATAACTTCTGATTTTACTCCCCGTACATTAACCACAGTAGGTACCACTTTCTTATGGAGTGCATACAATGTTGTTGTGAGACTGTTGTTACACGACCATTTCCTCTTTAGGTCACTATGCTTAGGTTGAGACTTTTTCCTTATTTCCTCTGCTAGTCTTTTATTGTAGTACTCCCTCTGACTCTTGTAAAGCTGCGAGCTTATTACATCGCATTCCTGATAGAATTTCTGATGTTATTTCTTACTTGTAATTATCCTTACTTACCTTCATGCCCTTGTTCCTTATACCGCTGCATGCGCGTCAATATCATATCACAACAACAATTCGCACCACAAGTGACAATATATCATAACTTACCAACAACAACAATATCAGTATTTTCACAACAATAGCCCATGGCTCCACCATAACAAATTACTACTATATAGAAGCCGCTTGGGAAGGAGGTCAGGATCATCATGCCTGCTTACCAAGGGCAATTTGATCATTTCAGGTGTCGAGACAGGGGGCTTTAAGTCTTTTCATTGCCTTTTTGAGTTCTGAAATATTTTCATGGGCTTTTGTACAATATACACGTAGCCTAAAATTTGTTGAGTAAGCACTACGACCTGCAGAGCCTTTTCATTGTATCATGTGCTACTCTACTCATAGTCTATTTTCCTATATACCACTATATTTTCCCCTTTACTTCTCGATTTTTCTCTGTGAATTCTCCTGTTGGCATATGCCGATAGTTTATCCAACTTTGTTCTATTTGAATTTGCTGCGAGCTCTTTTAATTTAGTCTGTTGTTTGTGCAATTTTCTTTGTTTATTGCCCTTCTTCTATTGCTAATCTAAATTTTGGTTGGTAAATGTTTGTTTTCTACTGTTTTGCATAATTGTTGCTAGAATATTTACATACATATCAATAAATATTCCTGATTTGCACATTTACTATGTTTTTTTTATGAAATTTGTTCGTTTTCTGCTGTTTGGCATAATTCTTGCTAGAATTTTTACATATATGTCAGTAATTGTTCTTGATTTGCACATTTACTTTATTTGTTTGATGAAATTTATCTTTTTATCAAAATTTTGTGGTATCAATATTCGTTTGAAGATTGGGTCTCTTAATTTACGTTATTTTTTTCCTGCAGATTAACCTATCTAAAGATGCAATTCTGAAATAGGAGACAAACACGGAGAGATGGAGGACGGGCTGATCGGTGGTTACCGTTAATATACACCTGGTATGATTGCTTTACCAGCTTGAGTTTCAATCTCTATGTTTTTTCCTTTTTTATAGTGTGATTATGAATAATAATAATAATAATAATAATAATAATAATAATAATAATAATAATAATAATAATAATAATAATAATAATAATAATAATAATAATAATAATAATCATTGAAGCGGCCTATGCACCCAAGAAGATGATATGCCCGACTCATCTTTATTAGAGTGAAGTCCACAATTTTATTTCAGATTCCCCGTTAGGAGACTTGTGCGTTTTGACACTCAAGATTGTAATTAGCTGCTCCGAATGCTTCATTACCTGGAAAATTTATTATAAGTCAATTTGTGTTTCACTTGTGCAGATACGTTACTCTAGATTACTGTAGATAGGTTTCTTTTTCATATTCCATGAATTTTTGTTTTTCATTGTGGATATAGTTCATTTTTAGACAATTCTATTTATTAATCGAGAAAACAGAGATTTCTTTAGATTTTCTAACAGTAAAGTTTAACATTGCTTTAAATGCAGGAGATAATTTTAAGAGTTTCAAGTAGTTCAAAGATATCGCAATTTTTTACAAATTGGTGGCAATTAAGGATTGATAGTTTGACATTTGAAAAAGCGAAATCAGTTGCTCTGTCCTTCTTTGCTATTCGGGTTTACAGGTTCCATACTTTGTTGTACGAGAAAGTACCATTTAAAAACTTCTGCTTGTTCTGGATATAGTTGTGATATCATCATAATGGGATTTGTTCTATGATGTATATGGTTGTTATCTGAATACGTGATAGTTCTATTGTTTCTCATGTCTAGCTTCAGAAAGTGCTTTTATTGAACCCAAAATACTTAACATGTACATTTATCTGCACTTACGCCTATGGATACACAATTCTTCACTTGTAAGCTCACCGCCCTTTATTTTTGTATCTTTCCGCTAATTTATTATCAATATTATCATGGGATCTCATTGCTTTCAGTTTCCATGCTGTGTGTTTTTGTGAAATTGGATGCCACAAAGGGTAAAGAAAAGAGTAGTTCAAAGTTGAGAGAATTCTATGATAATGAACTTATTAGTACAAATTAAGTAAATTTTGTGCTTTTGTTTAATACTTTGATGTATTGAATGTGTGTTTATAAGAGGGGTTGATTGTTGAAGAGGAAGAGTTTGTGTAAAGTGGGGGATGAAATTACTATCAAAGATGGAAGCTTTATTATTCTTGTGCTTTTTCATAGAAATGTAGTCTGATGGTTTCTCAGGTTTGGTGTTTTTCAAAATAGGTTTTATTTTTTGGGTTTTTCTAATTTGTTTCCTTTTTCTCCATATCTAAAGGAGCAGCTTTTCCTATGGCAAAAAATACTGAAGCTACTGCCCACAAGTCCAAAAATGAATCTAAGGTAAAAATTTTTTTTACTTTTCCCTAATGATAAAATTTGTTCTGTTGGATTATGGTTTATTTTCGAGATTCTGATTTCTAATGTTTTATTTGAATTTAGTTTGGAATGATAAACTAATGATCTTGTGTATGTTTGTAATGAAGATTTGGAGGGATAGGACTATGGTTATCTTGGAACTTGTATTTTCAAAGGTTGTAGTTGGTAAAATATTGGTTATATGCTTTGTGCCCCAGATATATGTATCTTGAGAATCCAAATTTCCCAAGGCTGTAAAAATTATTGTTAAAAGTTATGATATCATCATAATGGGAAATTAAAATGCAAGCACATTTTTACAAGTAGCAAGTGAGTTAGGCATTGGTTGTTTGAGATAAATACTCCAGTTAAATCTCAAAACTCTTTATATTAGGAATGGTTTGTCATTTCATTCTGGGTCGAGTTACTTTGAAGATAGTTGAGACATAAAGATAGTTGACCAAATACGTGAAGTGATAAGAATTAGCGACTTTGAGAAATTATTTTAACTTCCCTCATGGAATTGATCCATTGAAAAACCTACAGTTTGATCCGATTCAAGGAAATTAGTAGTTTCTTCTGTGATTTGTTTCTACAAGGTCTTAATTTTATTTGTTGATTCTAATCTTCTAAAATACATATTTGAGCCTACAACTTGGGTATAAATGTGATCATGAGCTATTATTGAAGTATTGTCTACTAGCTCTGGCACTAGGAGTATGTCAGCAAGTAAGTTGTAATGCTAAGGATTACCATGCTAAGAAATTGCTTATACTTTCCAGTTCTGCTGCACCAAGTAAGATATAAGCCTCAAAATTTATGGATATTGCTAGCAGAGAAAAAAAATACTTGGACTTCCATTAGGGTGAGAACATCTTTATGTGGCAACAAACATCTGTAATAGAAACATAGAATGTCGCAAATATTTGTGTGCTTATCATCTTCTTATGCAACATTCTTCAACTTGGGATACATGTTTCTGCACTAGATGGCCTCTTTTCCAATATTCAATCATCAAAAAGGGTGTACAAATGATAAAGTAAATGCTAACAATGTTTTTTTTTTACAATGTCAAGAAGGGAAATGTAGGATTGGCCACTAGAACTATGATGAAATTCCTAGAATTCCTCTAAGATTAGAAGACGGCTATACATTTTCTTTTTTTGGTCATTTGAACTGAAAATTCCAGCACTACCTTATTGCCATTTCAAAGAAAAAAGGAACTCAATTAAATTAGGAATGACCAAGAGTATCTTGCAACTTAACAAGGTACGTGAAAGACTTTATATATATAATATGCATTTTCCTTCTGTATTGCTTATATTATGTAATTATTGGCTTTGCTTTCAGGTAGTATGGTCGATTGACGACATCTTTGATATGCTTCACTTGGCTAGACTATCAATTTTGGTGTCATTCTGTTGCATAGCCTCTCAAAAATTCGTAAATTATTAATCTTAATTAAAGAATTATAAGTGTCATGACTTAAAGTACTTAATAAAAAAATCTTGCGTTGATTTGACTGCACTCCTAAATTAAGGGGGTATCATTGTGAGATAGCGTATAAAGGAAAAGTGATTACTCAAATTTTGGATGACAAGAGTAGTAGTTTTTGCCAAAAATATTACCTATGCAGAAAATGTTCAGAATATGGAATCTTTTAGTGTATATTTAGGTGTCAAATCATTAGCTACCAGTTTAATATGAAAAACACTTCTGAAAGTATTTGTGTGCCATTCTCATGTACTATCTGACTTAACAAAAATATGGAAAAGGGTGTTTAAAAATATTTGTGTGCCCTTTTCATGTACTATTTAACTTATCAGAAGTATGAAAAAGGGCGTTGAATCAACTACTCAATATTATACTTCAAATTTAATTTGTCACAAATAATTAGATATTTCAGCGTGCTTCTCTCCTATCTGTGCTTCTCTCCTTGTCACAAATAATTACATTTCTCATTCTAAGCATGGAGAAATTTTCATTTTCCATTCTCGGATGTGTATTTATTGGTTGCAATATTGGATATTACCTTAGCCTTGGCAGTGATTATGTCTCAATATGGTTCCTCTGAGGAGTTGTTACTATGCATGATGATTGAATATCAGCTCTAATTTGAAAGAATTTCACATCTGCTATTGTGAGAATAATTTCTAGCATTTCATTCACCTCCATTGCACTCATTAAGTTAGCTTTTTGAAATTGATAATTTTGCTCCTGGTTCTGAATATGGAGTTGCCATTTCTTGTTTTTACTCCTGCTGCCATGTTCTGGTGGTTGGATAATGGATATCCAACAAGAATACCGATGATGTTTGAGTTTTGACACGATTCAAGAAACTTTTGGTTCTAATGTAATAACTCATAAGCTTTGATTGATGTTTACTTGTCTTTTGAAGGTACTATAAAACTTCTTATACGTTCTTCTGTTCATTGTGCTCTTGTTTCTAGTATAACAAGAGCGACTGATTTGGGTACTTTACCTGATACACAAAAGGGAATAAGCGGTTAAATGTGCTTGTGATATGTCTGTGCGTGAAAATACACACTTCATGTATTCTGTGGGTATTGCATCAATAATACCTGATTGTAATCGTTAACTGTGATGGCGGTAGCATTGTAGTTTGTGTTTTTGTCCTCTTTTGCAGATATTAGAATGTCGCGCTATTTATATAATGTATCGAAAAGTTTACTGGTTATGATAGTCCAATTTAATACTATCTATATATGGAACATTGTTCTATTGGCACCAGAACACGTGGGAAAAAACAAGCACAATGCTTAATATGTTGGACCCGTGTGCAGCACGGGCAACCATTATCTAGTACAAGAATATCAACAACAACAATAGATGAAAAAATGCTTAATAAGATAGATGTTAAACAATAACCAATATCGCCTCAACGTATTAACGACTTCCACAACTTCAACACCAAATAACTCAACAATGAGAGAAACAATGTATAACCACAATATTAGATAAGACTAACTTCACAATAAAAGATATAATATTCAACAATGAGTCTCAAATAATGGAAATCAACAAGTAAAGGGATAACATGAACAACTACTTCAAGTAATGAAAATCAATAAGGAAAGAGATAACACGAACAATAGCTTTAACAATGATAATTAGCAATGAAGAGATAGCATGTAACAATAAAGGAGGCAACAAGTTCAACTAAAGTATGGGAGCAATTTAGCAAGTAGGATGTAGAACAAATACTAAACAAGTAAACTAAGGCATTTAAGGATTGTCTAACACAATTAAGGATAAATCGATTATGAGAATTTAGAACATAATATGGCTTTTTAATTGAAGCATGTAAATAGTTTAAGTAGCCTAAATCGGTCAAAATACCACGTACAACCTGTTTACCCACTCGTCACATTGCGTACACGAATTTCACTTAGCAAAATTAAATCAAACAATACAAATACTAAGGGGTTGTTCCCCCACACGAAGTTAGGCAAGACACTTATCTCAACTAGGCCAATTCAACACTCGAAAAAAGTTTTTCCCTTAAAATTCACCTCCACACAGCTCAAATCTAGCCAAAATAGACTCAATATCATCAAACAATGCTAGGGAATTTAATTGCAATAGAAAAAGTTAAGATCTTTACACCTTTCCCAAAAAGTCAACAAAAGTCAACGCGGGGCTAGCACGGTCAAAACCCGGGTCCCATGGTAGATTCTATCTACCCATGACCCCACAAGTTCATATATGTGATTAGTTTAAAAATTCGAGTCCAAATCGACTCTCAAAACTCAATTTTTTTTTTCAAAAACTTGACAGTTTCACCAATTTCTATTTTGATTTACATGATTTTTAAGTTAAAATCTAAGTATGTTGATGGAATATGATTAGAAATATATTAGAATCACTTACCCAAGATTTGTAGGTGAAACACCCTCTCCAAATCACGTCTTACCGAGTATAGGATTCAAAAATGAGAGAATGAGTTCAAAAATCCCGTCTATCGGCTATTTGTCCAGTCGTATATATCGCAAATGCGACATGGGGTTCTCAATTGCGAACCCCACAAATGTGAAGAATCCCTCGCAACAAAAAGGACCTTCCATCTCTGCTGTCATCGCAATTGCGATAAAGAGTTTGCAATTGTGAACCTTGGACCTCCGCAAATGCGACCATGGAGATCGCAAATGTGAACCAGCTCTTCCCAGGTACCTATCGCAAATGCAAACACTAGGTTCGAAAATACGAATGCAGCAGACTTGGCCTACCTTCGCAAATGCAATCTAAAAACTCTCAAATGCGAGATCTTAGGCATGTGCAGAAAAACCAGCAGACTTAACTTTAACAACACTCCGCTAACCATCCGAAACTCACCCGATCCCTCGGGGCTCCAAATTAAACATCCACAAAGTCTAAAAATATTGTACGAACTCGCTCGCGTAATCAAAACAAAAAAATAACATCTAACACTATAAATTGAATACTAAAACGCATGATTTCAAAGAATTTTTCAAGATTTGCTAGAATTACGACCTAGTATTCGAATCCTATCAAATCAACTCCAAACGACACCAAATTTTGCAGACAAGTTTGAAATGCCGTAACGGATCTATTCCAAGTCCCAAAATCAAATTTTGAGCTCGATACCTAAAATTTAACCTACGGTCAAACTTTTCAACTTTAAATTTCCAAATTTCGGCAAATCAATACAAATCAACCTACGGACTTCCAAAATTAATTTCGGGCATACGCCCAAGTCTGAAATCGCAATACGAAGCTATCTCATTCATAAAAATACAGTTCCTGGGTCTTTTTCACAAAAGTCAAAGTTTGGTCAACATTTTCAAATTTAAACTTTTAAGCCAAGAATCAAGGGTCCAAATCAACCCGAAAGCTTCGTGGAATGAAACCAATCAACCCCGCAAATCATAAAAGCATAAACACACAAGTGTGAAGCAATAAAAGGGGTAACATGGTGCAATTACACAAAACTACCGATCTGGTTATTACACTCGACAATGTACATGATTATTCTTGATCGGGCCCTACGACCTCAGCATAATTTGTGCATGATATCGCTAGGAGTCCGGTTGTACTTGGTATTTCCTTTGTGACATGAGATTTGGTAATTACTTGATGAATCTTATTTGTTAAAAATTGGCATGTGATAATTCGAAATTTTAAATTGACATTCTGTTAAGGGATCAATTATTTATTGTTTTCTTATTCCATTGTTACTGTTGTAAATTATGTGTTGGAACGACTTGATGATCCAAACTGTTATTATTTTTGCTTAATTTATTTCAGTTGTATTTTAACTATGTTCTGATGATTTTGCAGTTATCACATGTTTACTCTTGTTACCATTTATTATTTTTACTTTCCGTTGTCAGCTTTATATTAATATTCTGCACAGGTTTTCATGTCTAGTGAGTGTGTTGACTTGTACCTTATCACTACTCCATCGATGTTAGTGTAGATACTTGCTGGGTACAATTGTGGTGTACTCACACTATGCTTTTGCACATTTTTGTGCAGATACAGGTACGTCAGGCCGTGTTAGTTTTGAGAGTGGTGCATGTGCAGTTGGAGACTTCAAGGTATACCTGTTGTTCTATCCGCATGCCTTAGAGTCACCTTCTGATATTACCATTACCACTGTTTATTTTCATTCCAAAATAGTGTTGTAATTAGAGATTTCTAATGTATTTTAGTAGAGCTTATGATTGCGTACTACTGGTTTTAGGGATGTATGATTGTTAATCAGTTTCATCCTTTATTATGTCATTTATCAGTTTAAGTTAATAGCTAAGTTGATTATTTCTGTTAAATTCTCAGCATGTGCTAGGCTTTCCTAGTCTTAGAGACTAGGTGCCATCAAGATCCTAAAGGTGGGATTTTTGGGTTATGACAAGTTGGTATCAGAGCCCTAAATTCATAGGTTCTATGAGTCATAAGTAAGTTTAGTAGATTCTTGCGGATCGGTGCGGAAACGTTTGTACTTATCTTCAAGAGGCTACGGACCTATTAGGAAATTCCACTTCTTTCATTCCTTTATCGTGCGACATTGATTCAGCTTGAAGCGTATATCTTATAATCCTTATATGGTGTTGTGCATTTGGTATCAGCTATGCACCAACGGTTTGTGAGGTTGCGGATGGGCTACGAGGGGACTATGGATTCTCAATCATTGTCTCAATGTGTTGTCCAGACTGGGGATGTGGATGTGTTGGTAGATCTTTCAATTGATCACGTGTGGGATGCAACAAGTTCTGGTATCTGGTTGGTGTGTACGAGCTCGGAAGGATTTAATTGATTTCCTAGTTGCGATCGTGGTCGGTTCTTGGGAGAATATTAATTCGAGGCTAGTCGGTGGTATTAGAGGTTATGTGTTTTGTGGGACTTCTATTCAGTGGAAGGTACATATTATCATTCAATGCACTTGAGGAAGCGGGCATGACTATCACGAGGATGGATATGTGCTTAGTAGACAATTTGAGGTATCTTATGATTGGTTTTATACGAGCTTATGAAGGTTGGTATTGTGGATCATCGGGTGTTATGTTCTATGGCCCCGAGCCAAGTGGGGGGAGTCTTCTATCGATGATCAAATTTCATGGTCATGTGTTATACTAGTTTTGGTCTAAGGGTATTAGAGTGTTACCCGAAATTATGTATGGCTAAGATTTGAGATTAGCATGGGATAGTGCTGAAACTTGCGGTATTTCTGTATCATTATTAATACTACATTTCAGTATCAGAGAGGTTAGAGAAACAACTTTAGATTCGTAGAAGGTCTCTTCAGAGTGGGTATCTTGGTTGCTGCATTATTGGGTGTTTCGGAGGAAATACAAAGGTTTATGGGCTTTCAGATGACGTGGTTCATGCTAGGATCTCTTACGGTGAGCTTTGGTTTAGGATTGTACTGTATCGACAAGGAAAAGTGTTAACTTGAAGGCAAGTCGAGGAGGATCCGAAGAAATGGGTCAGCTTGGTGGTGTTGGGTTAGCATAGTAATAAAGGTAATTGGTTCCTTGGGTGTGGTGATGCATTATCGGTGTTTTGTGACAATACTTTTGGGTTAGACGGCTTGCGTTACTTGGTTGAGTTGGGGAAATTCACTTCTGATTGCTTGGTTATGTGCAGACGGGTTTTGAAGAGTTCTTGATAGTGTCGACCACGGCTTGAGCTAGATGTCTGCTATCGGCATAAGGAACATGTTGTGTGTTATTATTTTTCTCTTGTATGGGGTCACGAGTTATAGATGGCATGGACGATTTCAGATGTTTATTAGAATGCTAGCATTATTTGATACCACCTAAGAAGGGTGTGCACTCTAGAATGCGCACTGTGTTTCAACTTGCGGATGCCTGACGGGTATTACGGTAATCAGCTGATTGATCGACCATTGATGTTCAGATTTTGCTATGTTGTATGAAAAAATTATGGAAGTATTTCTCGTAGGATGATTGTGTATGAGGAATGTGTCAGTCATTTGAGTAGTGTAGTTGGGATCGGATATGGAGATTCTGGTATTCTAATGATTTGAAGACTAAGAGGGTTCTCAAAGGAAGATTGTTCCACGGTTGTGAATGGTGAAGGTATGTTGAGAGGTTGATG